TTAGGACATCCGCCATTCTATGAGTCTGCTGAAGTATCTCACTTCCCATGTTGGGATCAACTCTCCCCTTTAATTATCTATCAGGTTGGTGTAAGCAGAATACTAGACTTGTTGATGTGCTCCCTTTGACTCTAGTCCCTTTCAATATGATCAATTGTGACCTGAAATTGATCACTTGGAGTAGTGAAGATTTTGTCTGTTCTACTTAATATGACTGGTTTAAATTCTGTAATTTATCCACACAGTTATTCTTAAGTGTTGAAAAATTAACCGAAATGTGATCCCTGTTAAACATAAGAGTGGGAATAAGAGAGGGAAGAGATGTATAATTTGGGACATGCTCGGGCTGACTTGCCCCAATTGGTAGAGTTGGAAACATACCAGGGGATTCCAATTCAATCCCATCAAGGTGGCATGTGCCAATGCCATCTTGCTACAGTTTCTTAAAATTTATTATCTGGGAACATTCTTCATGTGTTTTGTGAACATTCACAGTTTCAGGTGTATTTTGTTGTCCAGACTGTGGTCCATCCATGGAAGCTTGATCTTGTTGGACAAAGAATTCTGTAAATATTATTAGACCAAAGTAATTGATAAGGCTATTAAAGCCAAATTTATGCTTCTGGTTTTTTGCATTTTTGAACAGCCAGTTAATGGAAGATTGATGTTCCCAAATATAATAGTGGAACTTTCTCTCTCTCCTTGAAATTTTGTCAATTTTTAAAAAATATTTATTTATTTGAAAGTTAGGGTGTCTGGGTAGAGCAGGAGTGGGGAGAGACAGAGAGAGCACACGCGCGCACGCAAGAGAGAGAGAGAGAAACAGAAAGAGAGAGAGATCTTCCATTCACTGTTTCACACTTGAAATGGCTGCAATACCTGGAGCTGGGCAGGCTTAAGCCAGGAATTCCATCCTGGTCAACCATGCAGCAGAAAGACAGAGAGATGGATTGAGAGGGGAGCATCTAGAATTCCAAACAGCACTCCAAAATGGAATACAGGTGTCCCAAGCAGTGGCGTACCCTGCTTTGCCAGAATGCCCACCCTCATTCTGTAGGTTTTTGAAGTGTATTTTGCAGTTCTGAAATAGGTGTATACACAAATTTGCTAGGTTTTAAAGCAATGGTTGCCTAATCATTAAGTAATCTTCCTGTTTGTCTCTGATAATTTTCCTTGTTCTGAATTCCATTTATCTGAAATTAGTGTAGTACCTCCAGCTTTCTTTCAATTAGTTTTAGCATATCTTTTGCTATCGCTTTATTTGAACTTGTCTGAATCAGTATATTTAGTGAATGTCCAAAAGACAAGAGGTAGCCGAATATTGTTATTATACTCACCTTGTCAATCTTTATCTTTTAATGAATATATTTAAACGATTCACATTTAAGCCTTTAAATAAGAAGATGGTTTTCATCCTATTTCACAGTGGTTACTGTTCATCTTCCCTGTCATAGCTAATAAATGATGTTTCTAAGCCCTCTACTGTGAAAAGTTGGTGGGATTCCTCAAGATAAAGCAAAGTATTGGATCCCTAAGTCCAAGTTACCTGGGAGTTTCCCATTCATGGTAGAAATGGCCTCCAGCCACTGAGTACAATTGCCTTCACACAAAGTTACCCTCTAAGTGCTTCAGCCAGGGCTCTGTTCCAGATAAGCAGGTCCTGGGTGCTCATTGCATTGTAACTGCAACTCCTTAGTGTGCCCAGAGAAGCTGTTGATATTTGTTTTGTTTAGCTTATTATTGTTGTAATGAGGAGAGTAATGACTTTCAAGTCTTTCCATTTCGGAAATGATACTTGAAAGAACTTCCACTTTGACTATGACATTGTCTAAATAAGATTGGCGTTGGAACCTCGGGTGATTACTGACGCCATAAATAAGAGTGTCAATTGTTAAATCAACAACAGGAGTCACTGTGAATCTACTCCCCATGTAGGATCTTTGTCCTTAATGTGTTGTACTATGTGAATTAGCGGTATAACTAATACTCAAACAGTACTTTACACTTTGTGTTTCTGTGTGGGTGAAAACTGTTGAAAACCTTACTTAGTATATACTAAATTGATCTTCTGTATATAAAGATAATTAAAAATGAATTTTGATGTGAATGGGATGGGAGAGGGAGCGGGAGATGGGATGGTTGCGGGTGGGAGGGAGGTTATGGGGAGAAAAAGCTGCTATAATCCAAAAGCTGTAGTTTGGAAATTTATATTTATTAAATAAAAGTTAAAAAAAGAAAAAAAGAAAAAATACAAAGAGTGGGAATAAGAGAGGTAAGAGATGTGCAATTCGGGACATGCTCAAGCTGATTTACCTCAAACGGTAGAGTTAGAAACATACCAGGGAATTCCAATTCAATCCCATCAAGGTGGCATGTACCAATGCCATCTCACTAGTCCCAGTGATCAATTTCTGTTCACAATTGATCATAATGATAGGACTAAGAACGAAAGGGATCACATAAACAAGAATAGTGTCTGCAAATACTAGCTGATAGAATCAAAAAGGGAGAGAACGATCCTACATGGGAAGTGAGATACACAACAGACTCATAGAATGGCAGATGCCCTAAACAGCACTCTGGCCTCAGAATCAGCCCTTAAGGCATGCAGATCTGGCTGAAAAGCCCATGAGAGTATTTCAGGCATGGAAAGCCAAGACACTCTGGGGAAAAAAAAATAACCTAAATGAAAGATCTCTGTGAGTGAGATCCCAGTGGAAAGAACGGGTCATCAAAGAAGGAGGTACCTTTCTCTGAAGGGAGGAGAGAACTTCCACTTTGACTATGACCTTGTCTAAATAAGATCAGAGTCGGTGAACACAAAAGGCTTCCATAGCCTTGGCAGCTCATGACAAGAGCCTAGGGTGATTACCAATGCCATAAACAAGAGTGCCAATTTGTTAAGTCAACAACAGGAGTCACTGTGCACTTACTCCTCATGTAGGATCTCTGTCCTTAATGTGCTGTACATTGAGATTTAATGCTATAACGAGTACTCAAACAGTATTTTTCACTTTGTGTTTCTATGTGGGTGCAAACTGTTGAAATCTTTACTTAATGTATACTAAACTGATCTTCTGTATATATATAGAAAATTGAAAATGAATCTTGATATGAATGGAAGGGGGAGAGAGCGGGAAAGGGGAGGGTTGCGGGTGGGAGGGAAGTCATTGGGGGGGGGAAGCCATTATAATCCATAAGCTGTACTTTGGAAATTTATATTCATTAAATAAAAGTTTAAAAAAAAAAGAAGGGATTTCCTCATGACAAAAATAAACAAAATAGATGTCAATTTGTTGTCTAAAAAATGCAGTATGTGTTTGATCAGTTTCTTGCAATTTTTTTACAATATGTGAGAGATTCTAATGTGAAAATTTATAGATTTAATTGTTCCTTTTTTATCTACAATAAAAAAAATTCTCTTTCCATAAAATATTTAACTGTTTCTAAGTGTCTGCTTAAAAGTGGAGTACCGCTTTAAATTCACTCCTCTCATAACTCATTGACCTTTAGACAGGCAGTTAGGGTTTGGACTTCCTGTTAACCCCGTGAAGGCAGCAGATATAAACAGAGTCCGCTTGGCCAGCAGAGTGAAACAATGGATCCCAAACATCAGCGTGTGACATTAAATGATGGTCACTCCATTCCTGTACTGGGATTTGGAACCTATGCACCTGATGAGGTAATCTGAGTCGCTTTGCAGTAGCAGGACAAAAGAAAATAGATCTTGGGTGGGCGGAAGGTGACCTCGATTTTGAAGTCAGCCAGTTCCTGTGTTACTGCAACTTTCACTTTGGTGGCCAGATCTCCCGGCTAGAGCTATTTCATGCAGAATAATGAACTTAGTCACACTATTTTCTGCCTGTCAGTTCCTGTGGTCCCTTGCAGATAATCCTGGATACTTGTTTTGCTCTCGGTTTCAGTCTATTCACTTTGGTAACGAAAACCAATCCTCAACAAAACTGTTAACTTGCTTGCCTGGTATTTGACTGCAGTTGTATTGGTTGCTCTGATTTGTTCTTAATTCAAGAAATATTTCCACTTCTGCATAAGTAATGGTGCAAGGAAAGGAAATGCACAGAACATGAAAGAGAGCAATGCTATTTTGCCCAAGGGTTAACCTAAGCACCTAACACAGTAATGACTGGACTTGCGTAAAGCACAATTTTCTTTTATACTAGTCTCACTTCTGAGAAACTTGCCTGCCTGAAAATACAATGTCATGTTAGGGGGAAATGGGAATCTAATAAAAACGGGTAAATTCTTCATTCTTGTTAACAAACGTAGAACTTAAAGGAATATGGTATATGGTCATATTCAATTAAACTGAACATCATGGAGGGAATTTCACACACTGATATTATCCTCTGATTATGTAATTGTATGACATGGAACTGTTTACCCCAAATTTGAACTTCCAGTTTATTCTTGTATAAAACGTAAGGAAATCAATAAGGAATATTTTGAAGACACGTTCCAAGACTTAGTTACTTTTCAGAGTGAGGTGACATGAGGAGAGAGAAGGATCAAGGACACCAGGTAAAGTTTTGGCCCTTGTAAATGTCTCAGTGTCCTCACACCTAGGAAAATCACTGGGCTGGTTTCAGGAGAGGGCAGCAGGACCTAGTGTCTATTCACTGTTACTGCGTTGATTAATGTCAGCCTCTCAATTTCTTCAAATAAATGGAAAAGAGTTTGTTTCATTTACTTGTTTGTTCTATAGCAAATATGTTCAAATCTTTGTCCAATTTTGGAAAGCTTATCATTTTATTTTTTGCTCTATTTTGATCTTGTGTAAAAGAAATGGCCTGTTTGTAAGGGGTGACAATGAAATTAATAATCCCTTACATAATACGGTTAATTTCTCATGTGAAAAAATGTATACATATACTTTGAGAATAGATTTTTAAAACTTACTTATTTATCTAGAAAGCAGAGTTACAGGAAAACAGGCAGAGACAGAAAGAAAGGTCTTCCATCCATTGGTTCACTTTCCAAATGACTGCTATGACCAGGCCAGCCAGCAACCAGTATCTCCATTTGGGTCTCCCACATGGGTCCAAGAGCCCAAGTACTTGGGGGCTTTTCTGCTGTTTTCTCAGGCACATTATCAGGGAGCTGGATCAGAAGTGAAGCAGCTGGAAGTTGACCTAATGCCTATATGGAACACTAGTATTGCAGGTGGCAGCTTTACCAGCAACATCACAACATGGTCCCTTGAGTATACATTTTAACTGCTAGTATTTATTTATTTTTGGGGGTGTTGCAGAGGATATACAAAATGGCTGTATTGAGAAGAATTAACTAATATCCTGCTGTCCATTTTACTAACTGCCTATTTTCAATCTTGCCCCTAATCGGTATCAGGGAACACATATATTCCCTATTCTCTAACATATTTGGATAATTGCTGGAGTTTTCCTGTTTAGGGACTAGAATATGTGTGTGGGCTAGTGGAGGAGATCTCTGCAACACAATCTCCATGAAGAATCTTAGGAATGGAGCCTAAATAAACAGCTTTCTTTACAGATACTTTTGCAAAGATTTTCAAATTCAGTTTTTACAGAATTGAATGTGTTCTGTTTATTTCACTGGGAGAGGATGCACAGAAGCTTGTCCTGCATTTTTTCCATATTTTATTCCACTTAATTTCCCCCAGTAGTAACTTTGCTTTGTGAATTCACTATATAGATAGCAACCTCAATTCCCAAATGCAGACTTATTCAAGACATGAGAAAAAAAAACTTGATTGTTGTGAGGATTACTGATGATGCCTGAACTAAATCTAATCACATGGATCTCCAAATAACACTTTTGGTTGCTTTTCTAGGTTCCAAAGAGTGAAGCTGGGGAGGCCGCCAAAATAGCTATAGATGTTGGTTTCCGCCATATTGATACTGCTCATGCATACCAAAATGAAGAGGAAGTAGGCCTTGCCATCCGAAGCAAGATTGCAGATGGCACTGTGAAGAGAGAAGATGTATTCTGCACAACAAAGGTATTGAACATTTGAGGTGTAAGTTTGTTAATTAGTGAAATGAGGTCTGTGTGAATGTAACCGTGATTTGGTAATTAGTTGTTGATAAGTAGTTATTTCTCTACTTAAATCACACATTTCTTTTTTATTACTTTTTACATTTAATTTTGAGTTTTAACAATTTTACCATTTTTTTCAAAATCACCTCATATGTAGATACATGCATACACATATACACTATCTTTTTCTTAAAAATAATAATAAAATATCACAAGATGTGGGATTCATAGAAATGATCATATATTGAAGACAGTAGGGCATATTGTCATGTAGGTGCTAAAATTCAGTGATGCCATGTAATGTGACATCTACACAAGTTGCATATCTTTATACATTAACCACCAAATGAAAGAAAAAACCTGTGGCAGATGTCTTTCTGTGTTGAGCTTATTTCACTTTGTATATGAACTTCAATTTCATCAATTTTGTTGCAGTGTCAGAATTTTAATCTTCTTTATGGTTAAGTAAATTTTTCATCATTTCTATAAACTACAGTTTGTTTATCCAGTCCTGAGTTCTGTCCAGTCCTGACATTTATGTTCACTATTTTTTTTGCTCTTGTGAATTGGGCTGCTATAACATGTGAGTGCCAATGTTTTTCATGTGCTGATTTTACTTTCCTGAGATATGTTTCCAGAAGTGTGACAGCTGACTCACATGGTGGACACGTTTTAGTTTTTTGAAGAATATCCATATTATTTTCCATAATAGTTGTATTAATTTCATTCCCACAAATTGAAGAACCCTTTTCTACACAACTTTTCCAGCTTTTTATTGATATTATTTTTAATTTGTTAATAGACATTCTAACTGTAGTGAGATAATAATTCATTGTAATTTTTATTTTCATGATGTCTAGGAAATTTGAATTTTTTTGTGTGTCTTTTGGCCATTTATTTTTCTTCTTTGCAAAATATCTATTAGTATGCTTTGAGTATTTCTTAACAGGACTATTTTGTTGTTGTTTTTGTTGATCTTCTTAGACACTTTGGTTATTAATTTTTTATCATATGGATAGTTGAAAATATTTTCTCCTATTCTTTTGATTTTCTCTGGATTTTTTAAATTGTTTCTTGGTTGTGCAGAAATTTCTCTGCTTAATAAAAATCCCAATTGTCTGTTTTGGCTTTTATTCCTGTACTTTTGAAGTCTTACATAAATAATCATTTTCTAGGACAATTTCTTCCAGCATTTTCACTGTTTTGATCAAGTAGTTTGTTAATTTCAGGTCTTAAAATTAGATACTTGATCCATCTTCAGATTTTTTTTCTATAGTCTATAAGTAAGATAAGAGTCTTACTTCAAACTTCTGCAATAAAAGATATTTGTTGAATAGACTGTCCTTTCTCTACAAATCTTTTATCAAGTTTGTTAAAGATTAATTGATTACAGAATTGTGGATTGGTTTTGGAGGATTCTATTCTGATCCAATGGCCTACATGTCTATTTTGTGCCAATACCATATATATTTTGGTTATAATAGCCTTGTAGTATGGCTTAAAATCTGGTATTGTGATGCCTCTAGCTTTGTTTTTTAGTTTAGGATTGCTTTGCATATTCACGGCTTTTGTGTTTCCATAGTAACTATTTTAAAGTTTATTTATTTATTTGCAATGTAGAATGACAGAGAGAGGGCAAGACAGAGAGAAAAAGACCTTCCATCCACTAGTTCACTCTAATACCCTCATGGTCCAGGTTGTGAGAGGCCAAACGAGGATTCAGGAACTCCATTCAGGTCTCCAATGCTGGTGATAAGGATTCATGTACTTGTGCCATGTTCTTTTGTCTTCCCATGCACATTTTGGGTAGCTAGATCAGAAGCAGAGCAGCTGGAAATTGAATGGGCATTTTGATAAAGGCTGCCAGCACTGCACAAGGCTTAATGTGCTGTGCGACAATGCCTGCCTACCCTTCTGAATTCTGGTTCTGTAAAGAGTATTCTTAATTTTTTTAAAGATTTATTTTATTTTATTTGAAAGGCAGAGTTACAGAGAAGCAGAGGTAGAGAGAGAGAGAATTGTCTTCCATCTGCTGATTCACTCCCAAAATGACTGCAACAGCTGGAGCTGCACTGATCTGAAGCCAGATGCTTCTTCTAAGTCTCCCACATGGGTTCAGGGGCCCAAGCATTTGGGCCATCTTCCACTGCTCTCCCGGGCCGCAGGTAGAGTTATAGACAGTGAGAGAGAGAGAGACAGAGAGAAAGGTCTTCCTTCCATTGGTTCTCTCCCCAAATGGCCGCTTCTGTCATCGCTGCGCCGATCTGAAGCCAGGAGCCAGGTGCTTCTTCCTGGTCTTCCATGTGGGTGAAGGGGCCCAAGCACTTGGGCCATCTTCCACTGCCCTCCTGGGCCACAGCAGAGAGCTGGACTGGAGGAGGAGCAACCCGGTCTAGAACCCGGCGCCCATATGAGATGCCGGCGTGGCAGGTGGAGGATTAACCAAGTGAGCCACGGTGCCTGCCTCTTGATTCTTTATTGAATATATTCTCATTTTTTTTAATGCAAGCACTTCTTGCTGTAATAAACATTGTTTTAGCTGTATGAGTTTTGACAACCTGTGTTTTCATTTTCATAGTATTCGGAATATAGTACTTTTTAATGTTCTGTTTTGACCTTCTGTATGAGCTGTGTTGCTTCACTAGCATGTTGATCAGTCTCCATGTGTTTGCATAATTTTCAGAATTTCTTTTGTTGTTAATTTCCATCTTTATTGTTTGTGGTCATGAAAAGTACACGATGGACATCTAGGATGAATCTCAATCTAGATGTCCACTGACTGATGATTGGATGAAGGAACTGTGACATATATACATGATGGAATATACTCAGCCATAAAAAATTGAAATTCTGACATTTGTGGCAAAATGAATAGGACTGGAGATCATTATGATAAATGAAATAAGGCAATCTCAGAATAACAAACATCACATGTATATCTTATTTGTGGAATTTGGTGTAGTGCATAACAATTATAGTGATATATCACTTTGTGTATAGCTTTAAATATTGCTTCATATGAATCATACTATGTAGGAGACAATCTGTCCTAATCTCCCAATGTTATGAACATTGTCATGAATCCTTCACTTTGTGATATTAATATCTGTATTAATCATAAAAATAAACTTAATTTAAAATAAGAAGTTATAAAAATAAATAAAAGATATATGATATGATTTCATTTGAAAGATATATGATGTGATTCATATGAGACTTGTTTTATGGCCTAATATTTTGTGTATCCTAGAGAATTTTGTGTATTCTACTTTATTTCAAATTTTATTTAAGGCATACAAACTTCATGCATTTCATATATACAAATCTAGGAACGTAGTGATCCTCCTCATTCTACACTTCCGCCAGCATGATCCCCTCCTCCTCTCTCTGCTATTCTCATTCTTAATTTTACAAAGATTTATTTTTAATTTACTTTATTCTCATAAGATTAACCCTACAGTAAGTAAAGAGTTCAGCAAATAGTATGGGGGTGGGGGAAACACTGTTCCTCAACAGTAGAGAGAAAGCCTGTAAACAATCATCGAATTTCAAAATGTCTATTTCACTCCTGTAGATTACATTTTAGGTGCTCTATTAGTTACCCAGATCAGGGAAAACATATGGTATTTCTCTTAGGACTGGCTTATTTCACTAAAGTATAATATTATAATAGTTTCCAGTTGCATCCACTTTGTTGAAAAAGACAGGATTTCATTTTTTTCTGTTGAGTAGTATTTCATAGTGTATATATACCATAATTTTTTCTAGCTGTGGGACGATATGTTCTATAGGTGTCTGATAGGTCCATTTGGTTGATAGTATAGATTACCTCTGTTGATTTTTTTACTAGTTGATCTGCCCATTAATGAAAACTCTGTGTTAATATCCACCAGTATTATTGCATTGTAGTCTATGACTTTAGATGCATTGTTTCTTTTTAATCAAACTGGATGTCCTCACATTGGTTGTAAATATATCTACAATGATCATATCTTATAGTTGAATAGATTCCTTGATCAATCAGTGCTGACTTTCTTTGTTTTATTTAAGCTTTTCTTTTGCAATCTATTTTGTCTGATACATATAGCTATTCCTGCTGTATTTGGTTTCTTTTTGCATGAAATATCTTTCTTGATCCTTTCACTTTCATTATCTTTGTGCCTTTACTGGTAAGATTGTTTCTTGTATTCAGAATACAGTTGAATTTTGTTTTCTTATCCCTTCAGCCAGTTTGTAACTTTTTATGGGAGAATCCAGGCCATTTACATTCAAGCTTGTCATTCATAAGGAATTACTTGGTCCTGCCTTTTTCTCATAATATTCTTACAGTTCATTTTGAGTATCCTTTATTCTTTCAACTAGTAGGTTTTCTACCTTCACATTCTTTATGCTGCTGCTGCTTCATAAATATATATGTTTCATAATATATACATAAGGATCATTTCAATGTTGATTGAGTAATGATGAATTCTTTTAATGTTTTGAAAATTTCCTTGGAAGGTCTTTGTTTTACCTTCATTAGTGAATGAGAGATGCTCTATGTAAAGTATTTTGGGTTGACAGGTTTTTTTTTTTTTTCAGAACTTAAACTATCTCCCCATTCTTTCCTAGCCTTTAGATCTTTTATTGAGAAATCCTTTTATCAATCTCGTGGGATTTCCTTTCAAAGTGACCTTGTGCTTTTCTCTTGAAAATGTTTGGACACTCCCTTGATGTTTTCCTTTTCAAACTTTGAGTATAAAGTGCCATGGTGAGGATCTCTTCTGATCATACCCGTTTGGGGTTCAATGAGCTACACATATTTAGATGTCCATAACTTTCTCTAAATATGGGAAATTTTCTGCTGTTATTATATTTGGCTAGGTTTTTTCAGCCATTCTTGTTTTCCATTCCTTCAGGAGTTCCAAGTACTCTTATAATGATATTCTAGAAATCCTTGGTATTATTTTTTCATTTAAAAAATTTTGTTTTATTTTTGAGTCTGAGATATTTGAAAAGACCTCTCATTAAGGCCATATATTCTTTCTTGTATTTCTCTTGTATGTTGCTAAAGTTTTCCATTGTGTTCTTTACTAGATTTACTGACTTCTCCACTTATACTATTTCTGTTTATTTCTTTTGCAATATTTTTATCTCTTTGCCTTGTAAACTCTTTCAAACATAATCCAAATAATAGCATTATTATAATTGATGGCATATTTAACTCTGGTGTAATATTCACCATGGATTAGTGTGTTTATGAGTAATATCCAAACAAATGATAGAGAAGTTTTAATGTTGTGTCAGGGCACATGAAAGCCCAAAAGAAGGGGTCATTTTCCCTCTATATTCATCACTTTTAACTAGTAAAATACATCTCAACATTAGATGAAAGAAATCAAGACATTTGGCTAATGTATTCATTCAACACAACTCCCACTCTTTAATCCCTGCAGCTTTGGTGCACTTTTTTTCGACCAGAGCTGGTCCGAAAAGGCTTGGAACAGTCACTGAGAAAACTTCAACTGGATTATGTTGATCTGTACCTTATGCATTATCCAATAGCAATGAAGGTAGGTGGTTAACATCATAAAATTTATTTCACATCTGCAGTCACTGTGGCCATAATTCTCATGGATGAGTAAAGGATACAGATACATTTGTAGAAGCTTAATATAGGAAAGGTATAGAAACTGCTCAAACTTTTTTTGGCAATATTTATTGGATTATGTAAATGAGGAGCCTAAACCTTGAGTAATGTACACACTTGAAATAACTTTAGGAAATATCTTTGTATCTAGAAATATCCACAATACTACAACAAGTTTAATTGGTTTTTGTCTCAGCCTTTTCATTGGTGGCATATATGGCTATGGGAAAATTCTTTTTTTTTTTTTTTTTTTGACAGGCAGAGTTAGACAGAAAGAGAGACAGAGAGAAAGGTCTTCCTTCCGTTGGTTTACCTCCCAAATGGCCACTACAGCCAGTGCGCTGCACCGATCTGAAGCCAGGAACCAGGTGCTTCCTCCTGGTCTTCCATGCAGGTGCAGGGCCCAAGCACTTGGGCCATCCTCCACTGCCCTCCCGGGCCACAGCAGAGAGCTGGACTGGAAGAGGAGCAACCGGGACAGAACCTGGCACCCCAACCAGGACTAGAACCTGGAGTGCCGGTGCTGCAGGCGGAGGATTAGCCTAGTGAGCTGCGGTGCCAGCCAATTCTTTTATTTTAAATATTTATTTATTTGAAAGAGTTACACAGAAAGAAGGAGAGGCAGAGAGAGAAAGAGAGAGAGTGTTTAGCCTGGCTGAAGATTACAATCTATTATTGGTGGAGATCAAGGTCATGTAACTATTGGATTTCACAGTGAAAGAGCGACATTTCTCTAAACAAAAGAACAGAAGCACATAAATTAATATAAATCCATGTGACACAATTAGGGTTTTGAAAATAGTATTCATTAATACATACATAATAGATGTGAAAAGGAAGTCTGCAGTATAGTGACGTTCTTTACCACTTTATATGTGATACAGTTTTTGAAAATATGTCTGTGGAAGGTAGCTCCACATAGTTCATTGAGGTTTAGTGTTCCCACACTAAATATATTTGGGTATGCTGCTAGGGTGTCCGTACCTGAATCTGGTGACATAGTGAAAAATGACTACTTCTATTGTAGCCTGGGGAGGAGATGTTCCCAACAGATGAACATGGGAAAACAATATCTGACACAGTGGATATCTGTGCAACATGGGAGGTGAGTACTTGGAGGAGTAAGTACAAAGAAAACTAAAGAGGAGGCATCAGGTTACAATTCAACTTAAGGAATGGGTTACACATTCTTGAATATAAAATGTTACGCCATTGTTAAGGGTAAATGTGCTGGAGCAGTGGGGGAGTAAGACAAAACTAGGTAGTCACAGTCAGAGAAGGCTTAGGGGCAAAGAGAGCATTTTTCCATTCAGTAATTTCTGGTTTTAAAGAGGACACAGAAATTTGTTGTGTTAATGTCACCATCACCCCCTCTACTTTTGCGCCATTTTCTCCTAAGTCATTCAGTGCCCATTTTCTTCATGATAATCTCTTGACAGTGTCCTTTTTAATGGTGTTATCATGCTTTTATATTACTCTAGAGACTTGTGGATATGTTTTTTCACAATGTTTCTTTATAGGCCATGGAAAAGTGCAAGGATGCAGGACTGGCCAAGTCCATTGGAGTGTCCAACTTCAACCACAAGCAGTTGGAGAAAATTCTGAACAAGCCAGGGCTTAAGTACAAGCCTGTCTGCAACCAGGTGAGAACTCTCAGCCTCCTCTCCCTCTGCTTTTCATTCCCTTCTACCCTTACCATGCAGGAGCCCAATTTCCCCCATTCCTGTTCAGTCTATGCTTTGGAGCAGACTATTCTGCAAGGCAGAGCATCTGTGTTGAACGACAAGTGGGGCCCTCCATTGACTCTATGGTTAGTGATGTCTTATTAAAAAGGTGAGGAGACTAGTGTTGAAATATGAGTAAGAATCTGGGGAGGTAAAAGTGATCAAGAAAGGAGCAGTCAAGAATCAAACCTCAATGAGAAGATGGATTTATCCCAGGTCCATAAGAATAGGTAGGAAGATCCAGAGAACCACTGATTGCTCAAGGGCTTGTAGAAGGCATTGTACATATGAAAGAATGCCACAGGAACATCTATTGGACAGTAAATAAAGACAGAGTAAATGTAGGAGAAGATAGCTGGTAAGAGTTTGGTGGTCAGATATCTGAATGCTTCCCTCCTTTTGGTATCTATACTTTCAGATGTCTTGAGCAGAGTCCTAGGTACAGAAAACAATAATAACTGGACACTATGAAAATAATCTGGGGAAGAGAGAGAAAGTTACCTATTTAGGGTGATAGTGTTGTGACCCATATCAACACTCAGTAAATTTTAGTAAAACAAGCTGGTCTTACCACTGAGCCCCTTTTAACTGCTATCTCCTCTCTGCTTTCTGCCGTCAAATCAACTGCTTACATACATCTATTCTGTACCTGGCTCCATGTTCTAACTTAGAATCTAACAACCTACAGTCACCCAGAAAAGACCTTTCACTGCAAAATATGGCTTATAAAATCTATGACTTTGTTATCTAGTGATGCATCACTCTTATTTTCAAGTAAAAGTATCACAAAATTAATACGACATTCAGTATTGGTTTCGTTCCAGTTCTTTTTTTATTTTAACATCTTTTATACCCTCAGAAATTTTGATAATGCAGATATTTTGTGTTTTCTCTCTTATACTCAGATTGTTAAATTTTCATATGTCCAAAGTTAATAGATATATAAGTTTATGTTAATACATATGTGTAGTATTTTGCTGAACCTCTTGATACAATGAGTTAAATGTGATTGTTCATCCTTACAGTACTCACAAATGTCTCCTATGATAGAAGACACTCATAGTTTTCATAATTGACTCTAAAGTAGTTTATAATTTCTTCTTCCTGTCATTGAACATAAGTCCATATTATAATTTCCTGTTGTTATCTCCAAATCTTTTCTCTTTTAAGGTCAACAAAATAGTAGTTCACATGTAGAATTTTGTCATGCTTCTCATGTTTTTCTCCTAGAGAAGTCAGAAATCTGTTCTTTTCTGTGATATCTAGACATATTTTGTCAGTTGTTCTAAATTTCTCAGAGTGTTGTCATAATAATAGATCATTTGTTTCTCTACTTTGATTTTCTGTAAGTTAGAAGTTACATTTGGATGGTGTATTATATTAAGATTAAATATTTTTGTCATGAAGATGTCCTTAGAATTCTATGTTCATCAAATTGTATCCCAAAGAGAAAGCATAGAATGATTGGTTGTCTCATAGAGCAGAGTTTCAAGTTGTTGCTGCTCAAATTCTGATATAGCTCTCTGGTAATGCACTTAGGAAAGTAAAACATGGCTTTCAAAAAATCTTTACTTGGGGGCTGTATATGTGGTACAGCATGGTAAGCCACACTTCTCACATCTGCATCCCATATTGGAACACCAATTCAAGGCCTGGTTGCCCTGCTAATGCACCTTGACATGCAGAAGATGGCTAAACCCCTTGGGCCCTCATTACCCACAAGACAGGTCCAGATGAAATTTTGGGCTCCAGGCTTTGTCCTAGTCCAGTCCTGATGGTTGTGGTCATTTTGGGAAGTGATCTGGTCATTAGAATCTCTTTCTTTCTCTTGGTCTCCCTCTCTGTTAGTCTCTTGTGTATGTCTGTCTGTCTCTCTCAAATAAAATGAATGAGACTTTAAGCAAAATCAAAAGCCCGTAAATTTAAATTTAATGTTTAATTTCTAAATTCAGCTATATTTACTTTTTAAATTTCCCTTTATTTTAATATTAGCATTTTTTGTAGTCTGATATTTACATTCTTTTCCATCTATAGGTGGAATGTCATCCCTATCTCAACCAGAGCAAACTGCTGGATTTCTGCAAGTCCAAAGACATTGTTCTGGTTGCCTACAGTGCTCTGGGATCAAGTCGAGATCCAAAATGGTAAAAAAAAAAAAAAAAAAAAAAAAGCTCACAAAAACCCACTGTTGATAAAATACTATTGGTTTACAACATGTAGTTTACAGAGTTATCTCTCAATTGGTCCAGAGACAGGGGGTAATCTGCATTTGTAGAAACATCTTAGATGACACTAATGCTGCTAGACCAGGGACCAGCTTTGAGAAGCACTGGTACAGAGTATATCCCCTAGTCAGTTTTGGTGATTTCTTAATAAACTGAATGCTCAGAACTTCAGCTTTTCTACCTCTCTTTCTAGGGTGGACCAGAGCTCACCAGTTCTCCTGGAAGATCCAGTGATTGGTGCCTTGGCAAAAAAGCACAAGCAAAGTCCAGCTCTGATTGCCCTTCGCTACCAGCTGCAGCGTGGGGTTGTGGTCCTGGCCAAGAGTTTCATTGAGAGGGAGATCAAAGAGAACATTAAGGTGATGAACATGTGGGGCTCTAGGCACCATGGATCCTACACAGTGTTCTCTACATTTGTTCTTTGCTAGATGTCAAGACATCTGTGCACCAAGACTTTACCCATGCATTCAAAATTTATGTATTACTCAAATATAATGGGTAGATGTAAATATGATTGAACAGAAAAGAGAGAATCAGTATTCAGCAGCAAACTAACAATCTGCTCTGTAGCCTTATGCAAAATACATCTTCATTATTCGAAATTAGAGCATTTTATGAAGTGATTTTTGGTTTATGAATTATTATCTTTTTCAGTGTTAGTATTCATATAGCTTAATATTCATGAGTTTTATTTTCATTTTGGTTTTCCTGTCTAGTGACGCAGCATTTCAAATCTTTGTTCATTTAAATAGATTGACTATGACTGTGTTTTCAGTTGAGACCACTATTTTACTATTGTAGTTACAAAACAAAACACCTCCACACAGACGATTGGATAAAACTAATTTTTAACATCATTATGTGAGTTGGGAGTTAGCCTGGGCCTGAACTTGCTCCTCCACCTTGTGTTGTATGTTGAGCTCTCTCATGTACTTGAAATCCTCTCCCTCATGCACTCTTTTTTTATTATTATTATTGAGTGGACAGTGAGAGAGAGAGACAGAGAGAAAGGTCTTCCTTTGCCATTGGTTCACCCTCCAATGGCCGCCGCGGCCGGCGCACCGTGCTGATCCGAAGCCAGGAGCCAGGTGCTTCTCCTGGTCTCCCATGGGGTGCAGGGCCCAAGCACTTGGGCCATCCTCCACTGCACTCCCTGGCCACAGCAGAGAGCCGGCCTGGAAGAGGGGCAACCGGGACAGAATCCGGCACCCTGACCGGGACTAGAACCCGGTGTGCCAGCGCCATGCATTCTTAAATGAGGCAGCTCCCTTCCAGGATGCTGGTTGGGCATTGCATGGGATGCCTCAGTGCTCCTCCATGTACTTTTTCATCCTCCAGCTAAGTATCCCAGGCCTCACCTCATTACATAGCACAATCAAAGGCAATGATTGGATACAGGTAAAGCCTGCTCAAAACTGCCTAACAATTGTTTCTGGCCAGTTCTATGACCATTGAATAGGCCAGGCCACACCAAAGTGATGGGAAAATAGACAATGGATCCAGAGGGCATGGAGCCTAGCCGAGTCAAGTATTGGAAGATATTTCTCTTAACAATCTATCATGTTTGTGTATTCCTTACCTTACTTTTGTATGAGATGTAGTTGGTAAAATGTGTTCTCAGATGCTGTGTTGTGGGGATGCAGGTTAAGCCACTGTCTGCAACACCAGCATCCCATATGGGAGCTGGGTTGAGTCCCAGTTGCTCCACTTCCAGTCCAGCTCCCTGCTAAAGTGCCCAGGAGAGAAGCATCAGTTATATCAGTATTTTTCTTCTCTTCATAGCATAATTTCATGACCAAAAATTCCTACTCTTTGCCGTTAAATCTTTACTTGCTTGTGACTGATGCATTGTATGTTTTTCTAAAGCAAGAACTGTATAATGTTTCACCACATTACCTATAAATTTTTATCATCTTTTTTTCTAAATTAGATTATCAATTCAACTCACATTTATTAAATGCTGTGTGAAATACACATAACAGTCCATTGACCTGAATATGTACTTTTAAAAAGAATACCAAGGAAAGGAATTTGGGACGCTGTTTGGTATGTGCTTGGCCCATACTCAAATGCCTGGATTTGAGCCAGTGTTCTACTTCTGATCTACTTGCAGCTAATGAACTCCATGAGAAGCAGCAATTATGACCTAACTATTTAAATATATGTGACCCTTGTTAGTGATCCAGATTAATCTCCAGGCCTGGCTTCTGCTTGATCCATTATAGACATGTGGTATGTGAACTGGCGGTTGAGAGGTCTCTGTCTTTTTGTCTCACACTCTGTCTCTCACTGTGACACTCTGACACTTTCACATCAAAGACTCCCCAACAAAAATACTTTTCTGCATTTACTCCTCTCTTCCATGGATTGTCTTCTTTTCTGTACTGTCTTCATTACATTGGAAAATAAAGCTCTTGTTTTCCAGTATAGTATTACATTTTTAACACCTCATATATAAAAATGGCTTAGTTGCTCTTTACCAAATAATGTTATACAAAATTGGTAATCACTTCTCAACTTTCACATAGAATAAAAATTAGAATCACTACTTGGTATTGTGTTGAAACTCTTCATTAATTTCCAGAGAATTTTTTTTAAGATTTATTTATTTATTTGAAAGGTAAAGTTACAGAGTGAAAGAAGAAAAGATAGATAGATAGATAGATAGATAGATAGATAGATAGAGAAATCTTCCATCTATCTGTTCCCTCCCCAAATGACTCCAATGGCTGAGGTTGGGCCAGGCCGAAGCCAGAAGACAGAAACTTCCTCTGAGTCCCTAGAGGTTTCAGAGTCTCAAGCACATGGGCCATGCTCTGCTGTCCTCTAAGACACACCAACAGGGAGCTAGATCAGAAGTGGAGCAGCTGGGACTTGGACTGGCACCCACATGGGTGTCAGTGCTGCAGACAACAGCTTTACCTGCTCTGCCACAGTGTCAGCCCCTTAAGAGAACTTTATGAGGTACATTTTTCTTTTTCAAATTGTCTACATTTCCTTTTCTTCATTGATGGGATATAAACATACAACTGCATCAAGGTACTTTACTAAATTATACATATATATATAAAACATATATTATATATATATTTCAAAGTTTGCCTTCAGATTTTGCTAGTTCTTGTGTATACATGACCCTGTCTTCTTTAAATAATTTGAACTTTCTTTGACAGCTAACATTGAGATCTCTGTTTGTAGTGTTGTGAGGTTTCAATATGGTATATCTAGTAGTGGACTTTTATTTATTTTTCACCCAGTGTTTTTTTTAAGATTTTACTTATTCATTTGCAAGGCAGAATTACAGAGAAAGAGGTAGGGCGGAGAGAGGGAGAGAGGGAGGGAGACAGAAATTGCCCCATCTACTACTTCACTCCCCAAATGGTCTCAATGGTGACTGGGACTGGATCAGGCTAAAGCCAGGAATTTTGAAAATCATCTGTGTCTCCCACATGAATGACAGGTACCCAAGTACTTGGGCTGTCTTCTGTTTCCCAGGTGTATTAGCAAGGACCTGGATCAGAAGTAGAACAGCTGGGACTCCAACTTGTGCCCTCATGGGATGACTGCATTGCAGGTGGCAGATTAACCCTGTGTGCCACAACAATGACTCCTCACATGCTATTTATCTTATTTTATTTTTTCATCATTAATATAAAGAGAGCAGATTCACATATTTTGTAGATACAATTCAAAGAACACAATGGTATTTCCCTCTTTCCCTCTATCCTTCCCTCCTCCTTTTTTGCTTTAAAATTTTGTGATAACTTTCAATTTATTTTATAGTCACAGGCTTAAAGTTCCAATACATATAGTATTTGACAAGTAAAAAGTAGAAAACCATGGTTCCACAGGAGTATAAAAAAGAGCTATAAACAATTATCAAATCGTAGTATGTCAATGTCTTATACATTCAGTTTTTGTTATTCAAATCTATATATTAGTTACCATAAACCAGAGAAAACATGATGTTTGTCTTTTTGGGTCTAGCTTATTTCACTAAGCATGATTGTCTCCAGTTGATTCTATTTTGCTGGAAAGGTCAGGATCGCTTTCATTTCTATGGCTGAGTGGTATTCCATCATGTGTATAACTCACATTTTCTTTATCCAGTCATCAGTTGATGGACATCTGAGGTGATTCCATATCTTAGCTATTATGAATTGACCTGCTAGAAATATGGGAGAACAGATAACACTTTCTATGCTGATTTCATTCCCTTTGGGTAAATTCCCAGGAGTGGGATGGTTGGGTCAATAGTAGAACTATTTTTGAGGAAATCTCCATGCTGTCTTCCATAATGGTTATACCAATTTACATTCTCACAAACACCCCATGGTTTTTGGTTAGTGACATTTTTTTTGATGTCTCAAAATCTTTGGAAACTTTTCAGGATTTTCCAGATTGCAAATATTCAGTATAAAAATAATAACATTTTGAACTTCTCTAATAGGTATTTGGATTTCAGTTGTCTTCAGAGGACATGAAAGCTCTAGATGGCCTGAACCAAAACCTTCGATATTGTCCTGCTCATTTGTAAGTGGCTTTGGTAAATTTGTTGTCTCCATGTATTTTTTGAGGATTAATATAAGATGGGTATTAGCCTCCATTCTCCCGATGCAGACCAATTCAGTGTTCATAAAATGATGCTTCTTCTCCCAGATTTTCTCCATTCTTATCAGACAAAGATACTTCCAACAGCCCTGTGGTTGTAGGCGGTGAGCCTTTTCTTTAATCAACATGTTTGTTTATACCATAGTCATTAAGATAATCTGCCTTCCAAGATTTCACAAACTTGTAAATAAGCAAATAATTTCAGTAAATGTAAATTAAGATGAATCATCATTTTTATAAATGATTGATTTTGGTAGATTTTCTGTGCAATGTAGTCTTGAATCTTGGAGAATTTGGAAAAACTTAGCTTATGCTGCTAAACATGTGAATTGTCTCCAATTAATGTTAGTGGGCTTGTTTGACATCACTTTCTTCTCCCAACTTATATATTTAAGAATATAAAAATTAAATAAGACATTTCACTTATTTTTTGAGATAATTTCAGAGGTCCTAAAAGTTTACTCATAAAAACCTTTTCCTGGGGAAAGAAAAGAGATAAATGAGTATTAGCACAACAAAGGAAAATTCATTTGGAAATGCATATCGTTAAATCACAGTAGTAGCGAGATTATGAGGAAAAGAAATTCACTGTTACTCACATGGCTTTGGATTATACTAACAGCAATATCCAATTGTCCTTATGTGTTGATAATATCCATCTCAGACATAACTTCAGGAATAGATCAAAATAAGTCTTATTTGAAACAGTTTTAAAAAGTAGCTTTTTATTTTTAGAATAACCTTGATAACATTCCGGTCTTTTAAGCATACATATCTGTTAATAAAAAATTATGGAAAGTAATATATATGTGAAAATATTAAAAGAAGTATAAAAGAATTTCACCTTGGGACATCCATACACAGAAATACATATCCCTTCCATATGCAGTTGTCCCATAGATCCTTGCAAATTACTGTTTCAATGGTTTTGAAATTTCTGCCAGCCTTTTCAATGTGTGTTTGTTAATGACTCAACACTGCATTTACCTTGAGAAGCGCTGACCTTAGAAGTATAGACATAACCAAGTATAGACATACTTGGTTACGACTTTCTGAAATATGTAATCTCAAAGAAGAGAATGAAACCTTAAAGGTAAATTTCAAACCAAAGAATGAGAATAACAGTCAAAAATTCCATGATGGAAGAGAATTTACAGCCAACAAAAGATCTTTGTTTTTGTCCTCTAAGGTTATAGGAGCTAAGCAAATACATGCTATAAATGAGGTTAACTAGGATTATATACTCCTTCTACAATTAGGATTTTTAATTTGTGGTGGAAATAAAAGTGATAATATATGAAAGCAATTAGTATAATGAAAAATTATATGTATTCAAATTTGATAGCTGTGTTATAAAGGCAAATGTTTTATTATTATGCAAAAATGAGTACTACAGTAGACACATAATACTATCTTTATATGTAGAGTGGCAAGCAATGCAAATTCCTACTACTCTTAGAATTTTAATAAGTATTGATTGTTATTCCTTTATATTTTCAGTACTTAGGAAAATACAGAAATATGCAAATTATACAGGAAGCATTTGGACTGAACACTGTCTTTTCAATGAAATTAATTTCATAATGTAATATAGTATGCCATGCATAATGGGCAGTGAGTAAATATTGAAGAATTAACAAAGGATATGTCAAATTGCTAGCAATAACCTATGTCGCTCCCCCTCTTCGTGGAGGAACGACACAGGACCCTGCGCTGTTCTTTCGTCTGCTCGGCCCTCCCCGGGTTTGCTGCTGGTTCTTCCCGGGTTGGCTACTGTCCCTTCCACCTCCGTGGAAGGGCGGTTCCCCCTGGCCACATTCCCCACTTCCGCAGGGGAGCGGCACACCACCGGCCGGCTCTCTCGGGGGCTGCACAGGTGCTCCCTCAGATGTTCCCCTTAGATGTTCCCGGTGTATGCCGTCTCTCTCCTCCTTTATAGTCCTCCTCCGCCAATCCTAACTCGGCTGCCCACACGCCGAGTACACTGCTCTCCTCCAATCAGGAGCAAGTCCTACAGTTTATTGGCTGAACTGGAGGCAGCTGTGTAGAAGCTGTTTTCTTCTCTCCCAGCGCCATATTGTGGGAGAGCAGATGCATAGAATAAGTCTTAATTCCAGTAACTCAGTCCAGTCCAGGTTGCTCCCCACAACCTATACTCCCTGAAATGTTTTTTTAGCATTAAATAGTATGTGGATGTGTCCTTGTTCAAAAACAAAGTATATCTCTTAAAAACTGTTGTGAAATAGCACTGGGTATCATTTTACATTATTGACAGATGCAGTTATGTGAGAGAAAAATGTTTGAATTTTTTATTCTGTATGTTCTGTATGCTAACCTCCAGATACAAGAATATAATTTGAAAAGTTTGATTTTGATTAAAGATATTTATCATAAAGTCATGCTCATGAATATAAGTCAGATTTTATTTTATTTTTATTTTTATTTTATTTTTCTGTAATGGTAGCATCACAGAAACCACATCTTCAGTATTCCAGAAATGTGATCACTGATTCTACATTGTGCACTATTGTTTTTTTAGTTATATTGGACACCCACATTACCCATTTTCTGATGAATATTAACATGAAGAACTTTCTCATGACTTCTGCTACAAGCTCCTGCAAGTGCATCATGGTGTAGGAGACATCTCAGATGCTGGTGACTGGGCAGCTCTCTTCTGGCTAATCTACACTGCTTAGCAATCACACTCAGCTGGAGCTATATCCAAAAGGAATAAAGCCACAGCTGCAAAATTTTTGTCATTACAGAAAACAAAATAATTTTGTTTATTAAAGATTTTTAACTAGCACTGATTTTATTACTCGCCTGCTTTATTTTGTTCTGGCTCCTTAGTGCCTCAAACTGATTTGCCTAAATGTTTGGAGATCTGTGATGAGAGATAACAGTCCACAGTTGTTGCTGAATACAGGGTTTTCTGTCTGTAGAGCAGTTTGCAAAGATTTTCCATTCATTGTTTCCCCAGTGTTTCCAGGAACAAGAAATCCCACTGCATAAATCTCAGAAGGTAAAGCAGTACTGCAAGGGTAACCAACATTATAGGGGCTCCCATCCAGCAGCTTAAAATCAGAGCTGCAGACACAGGGAACCTGAAGTCACAGTAGGGGGTGGGCAGAGTGGATGCAGCCATGAAGGGTGCTTAGGAGTTAGGTATGAGGGAGGTCAACAGAGAGGGCCCAGGACGGATTTCTTTTAGCGACCATTTCAGATTTGTCATCTTTTTAACTCTGCAATTGAGAACTGAGGCTTTTTTTTTTTTTTACAAATGCTTTTTTAAAGGAAATTTCTTTGTAGTTACTGTATATGTACCCAGAGAGATATAACTTATGGTTTGGTTGGTTATTTTCATTTTGTTTGTTTTACATTTTTTTTAATTGTTTGTTAATTTTTCTAACTTTACCAGAGTTTGCAGCTTATACTTCAAATCACATAACTGAAAACATAGTATCAAAAGGAAACCTGATCCATCATGTTACTTGTTCAATGGTTCACAATAGCCAAGATATGGAATGAACCAAGATGTTCATCTTCAGATGAATGATCACACACACACACACACAATGAAATTCTATTCAGCAGTAAAATGAATGGAATTCTCTCATTTACAGTATAATCCAAGGAACTGGAAGACATCATATTAAATGAAACAAGGTTGACGCAGAAACATAAATACCAAATGTTATCCCTCATTGCAGGAGCAAAAAACAAACAAAATACCCCAATCTGAACACACAATGGTGAAAACTCAAAACTTGGAGAGTTTGGGAGAAGAGAGGATGGATTAAAAACTAGCGTGTGCTTCATTACTTGTGACAATCATATTACAGCAATATCAGTTAATAATAGAGGAAATTGAGTGTAAAATATAGAGGAACTATTTGTACTATTTCACAATTTTTGTTTTATAAATTTAGGACTGTTCTTGGTTTTGTAAAAATTATTTTATAAAGGTAGTTTAAGGTGATTATTCCATTAAGATGTTAAGTTATATTTTAAATATCTAATGAAACTATTATGAAAAATAAAGGCTGATACTTAAAGCAAAAGAAACAATCAAAAATTGGACATATGGGATACATAAAACTTAAAACCATTTATGAATTCAAGGAGAGGGTCAATAGAATGAAAAGGCTTTTTAGCCAGATCTGAATACCTTAAGGGCTGATTCTGAGGCTAGAGTGCTGTTTAGGGCATATGCCATTCTATGAGTGTGCTGTGTATCCTGTTTCCCACGTTAGATCAGTCTCTCCTTTTTAATTCTATCAATTATTATTTGCTGACACTGGTCTTATGTATGTAATCCCTTTGACACTTAATCTTTTCTTTTTGATCAACTATGAACTTAAACTGATCACTTTAAAAAGTAAGATGAATATGGCCTTGTCTAAATAAGATCGGAGTTGGTGAACTCAAGAGGCTTCCACAGCCTTGGCAGCCCATAACGAGAGCCTTGGTTGATTACTAACGCCGTCAATAAGAGTGCCAATTGTTAAATCAACAATGGGAGTCACTGTGCACCTGCTCCGCATGTAGGACCTCTGTCCTTAATGTGTTGTACTAGGCTAATTAATGTTAAAACTACTATTCAAACAGTACTCTATACTTTGTGTGTCTGTGTGGGTGCAGTCTGTTGAAATCTTTACTTAGGGGGCCGGCGCTGTGGCTCACTTGGCTAATCCTCCACCTGCGGCGCTGGCATCCCACATGGGTGCCGGGTTCTAGTCCTGGTTGCTCCTCTTCCAGTCCAGCTCTCTGCTGTGGCCCAGGAAGGCAGTGGAGGATGGCCCAAGTGCTTGGGCCCTTGCACCCGCGTGGAAGGCCAGGAGAAAGCACCTGGCTCCTGGCTTTGGATCGGCACAGTGCCTGCGGTGGTGGCCATTTGGGGGCTGAACCAACGGGGGCAGGCGCCGCGGCTCACTAGGCTAATCTTCCACCTTGTGGCGCCGGCACACTGGCATACCGGGTTCTAGTCCCGGTCAGGGCGCTGGATTCTGTCCCAGTTGCCCCTCTTCCAGGTCAACTCTCTGCTGTGGCCAGGGAGTGCAGTGGAGGATGGCCCAAGTGCTTGGGCCCTGCACCCCATGGGAGACCAGGATAAGCACCTGGCTCCTGCCATCGGATCAGCGCGGTGCACCGGCCATAGCGCGCCGGCCGCAGCAGCCATTGGAGGGTGAACCAACGGCAAAGGAAGACCTTTCTCTCTGTCTCTCTCTCTCCCTGTCTACTCTGCCTGTCAAAACAACAACAACAATAACAACAAACAAACAAACAAACAAAAACAGAAGGCAGACCTTTCTTTCTGTCTCTCTCTCGCTAACTATAATCTGTCAAATTAAAAAAAAAAAGAAATCTTTATTAGAATATACTAAGTTGATCTTCTGTATGTAAAGATAATTGAAAATGAATCTTGATGAAGAATGGGATGGGAGAGGGAGTGGGAGATGGGGTGGTTGCAGGTAGGAGGAAGGTTATGGAGGGAAAAGCCACTATAATTCAAAAATTGTACTTTGGAAATTTATATGTATTAAATAAAAGTTGAAAAAAATAGAATGAAAAGGAAGTCAATATAATAGGAGAAAATATTTACACATATACACATGATAAGGGGTTCATATTCAGAATATAAAAAGGAACTTCCCTTTTTATACAAAAAAAAAAAAACTACAATTAATCTAATCAAAATATACAGGGTACTAAATAGACATTTGCCAGAGATGGCATACAAATGGCCTACAGCATACAACGAAAACATCACAACATCACTAATCATTTGAGAAATGCAAATAAAAATCATGATGGAATATCACTGCAAACTCATCATACTCGCTAGGATGTTGACTATCAAAATACAAAGAAATACTGAGCATTTGTGAGGATTTAAGGCATTGAAACCCTTGTACACTATTGGTGATAATGAACAATAGAAAAAAATGTCATGGAAAGCAATATGATGGTTCAAAAAAGTTAAAAATAAAATTAGCATATTATTCAATAATTTCTGTTCTCTCTATATATTTACAAATGCTTGAAAATAGCATCTCCAATGAATACTTGCTCATCCAAGTTTATAATGCACCCTTCACAATAGACAAGAAGTGAAAGTGATCTAAATGTCCATCTACAGATGAGCAGATATACAAAATGTATTATATACATACAATGAATTATTATATATATATTATATTATATATATATAAGAAAATCCCTTCACGTGCTATAATGTGGATGCACTGGAAGACATTAAACTCAGTAAGCCAGTCCCTAAAAGACAAATAGTGCACGATGCCACTGATATGTTATCTAAATCATTCAAACTCACAGAGAAATTAGGATAGTGACTAGCAGGGACTGGTGGAAGGTGAAAATGGGGAGTTGTTTAATAGATATGCATTCATATTAGCATGATGAAAACATTTTGAAAATATTCCACAATAATGTAAATACAATTAACACTATGAAACTTTACCCTAAATGTGTCTAGCAAGGTAAATTTTAGATTGTATGTACAGATCTTTAATCCATCAGTTAAATTTATTCCTTTTTTTTTTTTTTTGGACAGGCAGAGTGTGGACAGTGAGAGAGAGAGACAGAGAGAAAGGTCTTCCTTTTTGCCATTGGTTCAACCTCCAATGGCCGTGAGACTCTGGTCTGAAACTATGATCTCAAATAGTCGGACAATAGCAGTACACTACATCACCCTTGGCAATGCACAAAAACCCCCTAGCATGATTGCTCAAGCTTAAAAGTAGAAAGGTTACACCTGGGTTACCTGGGCTAATAATAAAGATGTGATTTGTCTATGTCTTAAGATCATAATTGCTGATTGTAAGACTTTAGCAACCGCTTAACAACCGTGTATTCTCTTCCCCTTCCCGGTTTTGCGGTTTTTGCCTTTATAAACCCTAACCTTTGGTTATTCGGGGCTGCTCTGCTCATGATGATCAGACAGCCCCAGCATGCTGGATAATCAATAAAGCTTCCCCTTGCTGTTTGCATAAGAGATGTCTCTTGGTGACGTTTTTCGGGCGGTCAACTCTCACAATGTCCTTATACAAGCACAGCATTAAGTTCAGCTCCATAGCCTGATAATAGATATCATGTTATAAAAAATTGCTGCAACTTTCATCTGTTTGAGTGCCATCATTTGAGAGTTCCAGGGATCCAGCTGGAAGTCCCAAGTCAGAGACTCAGTTCAGAGTTAGGATAGTCCTTTCAATATTCTGGAGACTCAATTGTTAAGACTCAGTTTTTCCAGGGTCTCGCTGAGTAGATCAAGGTCTAAGCGTCAAGTGAATTCCTAGTGTCCTGGCAGCCCTCTATGGGTGCCTTTCCTTTACTGGAAATATTCAAGCCCTGGGCCATGGGAACACTGGGTCATTGAGCCCAAGTGAGGAAGAGATCAGCAGCAGGTAGGAGTGGACACATTTACCTACACTCAGCCACCTCTCCAGTGTCCATGGGATGTCTTGACTCCTGTCGAGGAGATTGTCACTTGTATTAAATTCTTGTGCACAGGAAAAGTACTTATAAAAGATATCTCTTTGACAAAATAATGTTAGAGGATGGAAAGGTAAGGCAGTGACCAGAGAGTTACCCTACTGTAGGTCCCCAAAGAGTAACACTGGGGGAGCAATTCCTCTGGAAGGCAATGGAAGAAATGACTGAGAAGCTCCATCAATTAAAAAAAAAAAGAACTGACTTATTTAAGTAGAAAAGGGACTGTTGTCCATAGAGCTGGGTCTCTGGGTATCTATGCACCTACTACTGAAAGGTGGAAATGAGGTGAAGGGTAGGCTAAGCCAACAGAGTAGGAAGAGGGAGGGGAAGGATGGTGAAGGATTTGAGGGGAAGAAACCTCTGACCATTTGCCATTTCTCTGTGTAAAGTTATCAAGGTCGCAGAACCATTGTCCAAAGTTATCAAGGCCACTTAGAACCATTGTCCAATTCATACTGAAGCCAAGCTGCAATGCAGAAGGAAATGAATCGTTTCAGACTGATCTACCTTTTTAGGCCCAACCTGTGCCGGTTTTTTAAGAGACAGGTCAGAAAGGAGTCATGAGGAATGTGAGAAAGTTCAGAATCCTTGGATTAAGAAGAAGAAGGTCTGAGGGAAGTAGGCTTGGCTCGCCAAGGCATTCCTCGTGGAGAAGCTACCCCAGCCAAGAACCTTCTCACAGTGGAATTCTGAGTCTTCACAGAAGAAGACGGAAAGAGTCCCCACACCTAGATAAAGTGTCCCCAGCTCTAAGTCATGGTGGATGGTTGTTCCCCACACATTTGGGAGAGAACTTCTTTGATTCTGGAACAAAGGAGGGAGAAACCAACTGAAGAACCTAGACCCTTTGAGGGAAGGGGCAACAACTATGAGGATCTGCCCCAGTACACCTGGAGGGAGACAGAGGTGGATTTCTTACCAATCTGTTGGGTTGAGAATAAAGTTTGTTGTTGCATGAGGTTGTGAGAGCTGGCAAAAGATTTCTGGCTGGAGCAGTGATATGGGACCAATCAGGGAGATAGAATTAGACTCATGAGCTGGAGGCCACAGCGTCATGCCCATTTTGTGATCTCACCTGTATCTACCGACCAGTCAATCAGACTACATAACCACTCCCCTTTTAGAAGTGGATAAGAGGCTGGAGTGCATTGAGCCAGCACCATTTTGCTGCTTTTATTTGCCTGCTAGCCACTCTCCCACCCATATGCCCTCTCTTACTTGCAACCTCTGGCCGACTCCTTGGAAAACGCTGGTATGGAACTTTCCATTTACTTTTTTCTGATCCACTCTTGCTTAATAAAGCCCTCATGTTCCTCTGTATTTCTCCAGATAAATCTTGAACTTTACCATATTGCCTGTCTTGTTTGTGCCTGAGCTTAGAATTCTTAGCTAAAGCCAAGAACCTGAAATATTAAATTTTGGCATAAAATAAACCCATAACAGCAGAAGGGAGTAGACAAGAGAGCAGAATGGTTCTCAACTTGTCTGGGGGGGTCTGGAGAGGCATTTCCCAACTCTGCCTGAGTCACTCCGAGGATAGTCGAGATGAGCCTAGGAATTTCAACCTCTCTCCACCGAGAGGCACTTAGAAAGGACTGTAAAGCAGGGCAGTCAGCACTCACACACCCTATTAGGCATCTGGTGTCTGCTTTTCACCTGGGAAGTTTGGTTCACACTGAATAGCCTCAGCTTGAGACCATCAGACTTCCACCAGGTTATTCCCAGTCACACGCATCCATGGCATTGTTCCAGGAAGGAAAATGGAGATAATAGTGTTACTGGTGAAACAGTGGTGAAAAAAAATCTGACCTTGATTCTTTCTCTTATGTGAAAGAAGAATTTCCATGTGGACCAGGAAGAGAGAAAAGCAAGATTTATCTAAGTCAGAAGTGGCTTGGGCTGGGGGGGGTGGGGGGGGATTCTCCAAGACTGGGAGATGTAAAAGGCTGGTAGCAGTGGGATTTTTAAGCACAATTTTAAGTTGAATCATCAGTTAGAAGGCAGGGACCTGCTGTGGCCAGGGAGTGCAGTGGAGGGTGGCCCAAGTGCTTGGGCCCTGCACCCCGTGGGAGACCAGGAAAAGCACCTGGCTCCTGGCTCCTGCCATCGGACCAACGCGGTGCGCCGGCCGCAGCACGCCGGCCGCAGCGGCCATTGGAGGGTGAACCAACGGCAAAGGAAGACCTTTCTCTCTGTCTCTCTCTCTCACTGTCCACTCTGCCTGTCGAAAAAAGAAGAACTAACAAAAGAAAAGAAAAAGAAAATTCTAGGAATTTAGGTTGATGCATAAGAAACAACAGCCTCTTGTACGGGATTTAGTGAAGTGATATATGTATTGAATTTTTTTTTGCATTGATAAAAATATTTATTTTGATCAATCTATCATACACAGGTCAGTAGAGGTTCCACTCTGCCAGATGCATCCCAGAAGAGCCCTGCGCTGCCCATTGGTGACTGAACGATGTAGCAGGTCTCGTCCTAGCCAGAGCACACATGTTCCACGCTGCCCTCGTCCAACGACTGCTTCCAAGTCCAGATGACCAAACAGTCCTTTACCCGCAGAGCAGGCTCAAAACAGTTGGTTCAGGCATTCTGGGACCTGCACCCCTCTTAAAACCCAGGTAAACCACGAAAGGGATAAAGCCCCAGGGAATGGCTAACTGGCCGCCCTTGAAGAGCTGCTGCAGCCTCTGCTTGGCTTCTTTGCTCAGCTTCACCATGACGACGGCCGGGCAGCCACAGCAGACACCACAGGAGCAACCAAGTATTGAATATTAAAACCTCTTTTAGAGAAGTTATAGTTAGTGTTTGTTATTAAAATCAAAAACATATTAAAACTGTGTTTATGTCTTCCAAAATACATGTATTGGAAATGAAAATCTAATGCAACAGTATTGGGAGGTGAGGCCTATTTTGTTTTGATAAAGCTTTTTCCCACATCAGTGTTACAGTAATACAAAGAGAAAAGATTCATTGTAGAACATAGAAAAAGCTATAACAATACAATGATGATTATCCCTCCCTCCCTCCCACCTACACTTCCTCCATCCTTCCCTTCCTCCACCTTCCTTCCTTCTTTTCTTCTTTCTTTCCTATTTCCTTCCTTTATACTTGTATTTGTTTATTTGAAAGGCAGAGTGATGGAGAGAGGCAGAGTGATGGAGAGAGGCAGAGTGATGGAGAGAAAGAGAGAGAGAGACAGAGAGATGGAGAGAGAGAGAGTTTTTCCATCCACTGGTTCACTCTTCAGATAGCTATAAAGGCCTCTGTGGCTTTCCCAGGTCCATGAGCAGGGAGCTAAAATGGGAAGCAGAGTGGCTTTGATCAGAACACGGACTCCTTTAGGGGATATTGGTGTGCAAGCAGTGGCTTACCATGCTGCACCATAATGCTGGCCCCAAATGAGGTGTGTTCTTTTTTTAAAAAGATTTATTTTATTTATTTGAAAGACAGAGTTACAGAGAGAGGTAGAGCAAGAGAGAGAGAGAGAGAGAGAGAGAGAGAGAGGTAGAGAGGTCTTCTATCTGCTGGTTCACTCCCCAGATTACCGCAGTGGCAAGAGCTAAACTGATCTGAAGCCAGGAGCCAGGAGCTTCCTCTGGGTCTCCCACGTGGGTGCAGGGGCCCAAGGACTTGGGCCATCTTCTACTGCTTTCCCAGGCCATAGCAGAGAGCTGGATTGGAAGTGGAGCAGCAGGGACTTGAACCGGTGCCCATATGGGATGCCGCATTACAGGTGGCGGCTTTACCCACTATGCCACAGCATTGGCCCTATATTCTTCTGATTTTAACCCAGAGTAAAGATAATCAATTTTGGGGGATGGTGTCACAGTACAAAAGGCTAAGCTGTCACCCCATATGAGTGCTGTTTGGAATCCAGCCGATCCACTTCCTTTCTATCTCCCTGTTCATGGGTCTTTTGAAGCAGTGTGAAATGGCACAAGTGTCTGGGTCCTGCCACCCACTTGAGAGACCTGGATGGAGTTCTAAGTCCCTGACTTTGGCTTGGGTGAGCCCTGGCTGTTGTGGCCATTTAGGGAGTGAAATAGTGGAGGAAAATTCTTTCTTTCATTCTCTCTCTCAGTCTTTCCCTCTTTCTATAGAACTCTGCCTATACAATAAATTAAGTAAATTTTCATGGAAGCAAAAAGTCTCATGGCAGTAGACAATCTGCCTTCTATGTTTAATGTGTAAGTGGTCCTTGAATAAGTGCGTCGGGTATAGGTTGTAAGAACGTAAGCAAGGTAGATTTGCAATGGCACAAACATTGGCTATATTAGTGATGTTCTCTCCTGGCCATTATTCATATTTCTCTTGGACCAGGGGTTGAAATCTGGTGGAATCTTTGGGTCCAGGGTCTAGGGGGATGTTCCTGCTTCCCACCTTTGTCCAGAATCAAGTTTGTCTTCCTGGTTTAGGACATATTTGCTCCTATGTGAACCTTCATACCCCAGAGTATCAATAAAACAACCTACAAGTCAGTTAAAATGGTATTTAAACTTCTTTTAAGAAGTTTCTGTTGCAGTCTTTGGTTTACAGTCCCATGCAGTCAATTCAAACTCCAAAACCTGAAAGGGAGATAAAAACCACATTGAACTTTGTCCAACTGAAGCTGCCTTCTACCTGAGAATATGACAATCTTAAAGGGTGGACACCAGCAAGGATGACAATAAGGAAAGACCTTTGTCATCATAACCTAGGTGTATTGGCCTGAGAATTTTTCCCTTATTTCTGTCACTTCCTTATTCTACCACTTTACTATTCTGTTCCACTTCAGGAAAGAAAGAAATAAATCATTCATCCCAAATCTTTCTGAGTGAATTCCTTGATTCATAAAATCAAATGCAAAACAATCTTTCTTTTCAACTTCAGGGACACTTAGAAAACACTGAGCTCTCTGTTTTAATATATTTTGTCCAAACTTGAATCAAATTTTCTTCCCCTGAAGCCTGAAAATCTAGACTCACCCTTGAAGAATAACAGGCACTGGAATGTAGAACCGACCCTCCCAGAAATCAAAGATCTTTGGAAAAACTTCTTGAACATGCTCTGTGCCCATTTCTTTCTATTACCTTTTTTTTCAGTTACTTACTCTCCCTATAAAATATAACACTTTCAATTTGGCTATAGATTCTAACATCATGGATTTTCCTTGTATGAATTGTAATTCAAATAAAGTTTTGATATCATCATGGCTGTATTTATTTTTATTTGGTATACAATCTCCTAGTAGGACAGAAAGTGATCTCCCCTAATGTGTATTAAAGTGTGGGGGAAGAAGAGTGGATCATTGTTTCACTCAGTGGATAATGTCATAGATATAATTAATAGTCTATCTCTTTTCATTTTGTAAAAGTTTTACTAATTTGTTTAAAAGGCAGAGTTATGCAGCCAGCAGGAGAGAGAGAGCAAGAGCAAGAGCGAATGAGAGAGAGAGAGAGAGAGAGGTCTACCATCTGCTTAACCGGCTATACCACAACACCACAGCACAGGCCCCGTATAGTCTATATCCATCCATTCATTGGATGGTAGATTCTTAAGTGATTTTTTTCTTTTTAATGCCTAATCTGTGAATGTTATTTTTAAAAAATATTTTTCAATAGTTAAGAGCGTTCTGAGGAAGAGGTTAACCTGGATTGTAGAGGTGAACTCCAAGATTCTTAGCAGAGTGAAGAAGAGATTGGATAGAGTCTGAATGTGATAGGCCACAGATGTTTCAGTGACGTGACCACTTGTCAAGAAATGAACAGTCACCAGAAGTTGGAAGAGGTTAAAATATTTGCTCTCAGGCCAGCACCGTGGCTCAATTGGCTAATCCTACGCCTGCGGCGCCAACATTTTGGGTTCTAGTCCCAGTCGGGGCGCCGGATTCTGTCCCGGTGGCCCCTCTTCCAGTCCAGCTCTCTGCTGTGGCCAGGGAGTGCAGTGGAGGATGGCCCAAGTGCTTGGGCCCTGCACCCACATGGGAGACCAGGAGAAGCACCTGGCTCCTGGCTTCAGATCAACGAGGTGCGCCGGCCACAGCGGCCATTGGAGGGTGAACCAATGGCAAAAGGAAGACCTCTCTCTCTCTCTCTCTCTCACTGTTTGCTCTCATGCTCTTCAAATGAACATGCCTGGCCAGATCGCAAACTTTTAGTTTCTGCTGACTGTGAGACAATAAATTCTTGTAAGCTATCAAGTGTATCAGAGAGGCTGAACTGAGGAACAAAATATAGTAGTTATAGAAAGTTTATTAACATACTGACTTGCATTTAAATATAAAAATTAAGAGAAAGCATTTCACATGGTACATAAGCTGCTGGTTGGGATGTGCATCTCCCATAAGCAGAGCCTGGGTTTAAGTTCTGGTTCCACTTCTTATTCCATCTTTCTAATAACACACACCCTGAGCAGCCACAGTTGACAACTCACATACTTGCTGGGGAAGCAGAATATGTTACTAGTTTCTCACATCAGTCACACACCCACTCTGGCTATGGAGGAAATAGGGAAATTTAACAGCAGAAGGGAGCTCTCTCTTTCTGTCTTTTCTAACAGTCTGTCTATCTGCCTCTTGAATAAATAGATAAATTTAAACTCATGACCAAAATAGATAAGTTACAATAAACACTGACATCACTTTAATTCATGAACAACTGTCCTTGATCAGCATAAGCTGTAATATTTACCAATATTTATATGCTTGTGTTCTGACATCTACCAGCCACTGTTTGACAGAAAGTCCTGTAGTTGAAAAGAAAAGAATAAAAGGAGAGTCTACTGATGGTAAATACTTTCCCTACAGTGGGCACTCCTTCCATCATACTATCTTATGTGATTTTGATAAGCTTTGTCACTTTTTGGCCTTCTGTGTCCTTATTTAGACACAGTGATCTCAAGGTCAGTTCCTGCTATCTTTTACCTTGTGCTAAACTCACAAAATTGGGTGGAATATCATGGATATGGATTACAGGTGAACTTGAATGGACCAAAGAGTTGTAGCAGTGGGTTTCTCAATGGAAAAGAGACTGGGAACCCTCAAGTCCTTTGGTTCTGATCTCTGAGTCAGTAGATTAATTTTACTACCATTTGCCAAGAATAGGTGGAATTAATCTCAAGCAAATGATTTTATTAAATAAAGACTGTGTTGACAACCCACATGAATGTGGATCAAAACAGGTGCACAATATGCCACTACTTTCTAAGTAGAAATAATGGAATTAATTTTTGAGACTCTGAGAAATTTTCTTACATGTTATTCTGAACACATTATGTATCAACATCTTTTATTGCTACTGTAATTTGATGCATATTTACTCTGTGATTTTTATTGACCTTCAGATAAAACAGCTGTGAAGACAGAATGGCTCAGTCTATTCCAAGTCTTGATTTCTTTGTAAACATTCAGTACAGGAGGTGAAGGAGGAAAGAATCTCTGAGACATAAATGGAGGTACGAGATGTAGAAAGTGGATCTTTAATACTTTACACAGAACTACTATGGGCAGCCACAGGCAGTCGCCCCTTTTGTTTACACTTAAACATATGGATGGAGACATCCTGGCACAGACAAAAGGCTAAGGAGATTCCAGGAAGAGGCAGGAAGAACCATATCTCACTGCTAGACTTCTCACAAGAGATGATGTAGATAATCAGTCACACCTGAAACCTGCATTTATCACCTAGGTGTTTTATTATACCCTTGTAATCAATGATTGATAACATTCTGAGGATCTGTTAAGTGGAAGAA